AAAGTTCAATTGATTCTCGATGATTGGGAAGGATTTAGCACCACATAGAACAAATAAAACATCTAATTTATTTGTATCTAATACTTTAGCTTTTAAGATAAATGTTTGTAGCATTCTTTTCCAATATAGGTATTCAAGATACCTATACAAGACTAATACAAGTAATTTAGTAGTAAGGTTTTTATTATATTATCTAAAATATAAGGGAACACTATATACATAATATAAATATAATAACGCAATATTGCAATAACACAATATCACACACACACACACACACACACACACACACACACACACACACACACACACACACACACATACATATATATATATATATATATATATATATATATATATATATATATATATATATATATATATATATATATATATATATATATTATTGCATGTTTTGGGTAGCAATATACTGAAATAGTGAGCTGTGAAAGCTACAGTATATAGATCGACTGACATAAAGACAAATAGAGAGCGACAATGACTTTACTACCCACATAGCTAGGGAAAACATACAATGGAGTACCAAATTGAGTGTAAGAAGTGTAGCCCTACAGTTTGTAAAAACCCACAATTTATTTCACATTAAAACCTGGAAGTGCTAGCTTTAAAATATTTTTAATTGAGTGACCTTAAATTACCTTAATAACATATTAGCAACTAGAATAAAAAATTTTTTTATTCTAGTTGCTAATATGTTTTTGTGCAAAAATTTAAATTTATGTAAATATTTTATTACCTATTTTTAATAAATATTATGTAAATATTTTTAATGATTTCATTGTTTAAATCAGGGATTATCTTTTTCCGTATATATCCAGAATTCCTGATATTTTTTTCAGCTTTTGGTTTTTCTGGATTTCCAAAATCATCTATAAATACAAGTTTAAATAAATATTTTTAGTGCAACATATATGTTTTTAAACTTATTTTTTTTTTTAAAAATCATTACCCATAAAATAAAGAAAAAAAAAATTTGAAAAAATTGGGATAGCTATTACTTAAGACAAATATGAGGGAAATAAATTCTGCCTTTTTTTTTTTTGTAAAATTTTTTCTTGATTTATCAAATATGACCTAGATGACCTCTGTTAAATAATTTTTAATTATATACAATTATTTATATTTATTTCTATAAAAAAAAATTTTATAATTGTCTCAATTAAAAATTTTATAATTGTCTCACTTGCTTTATAAAAAGTTTTTAATATTTAATAGATATAATGATTTTTTAAAGATAAAAATATCCAATATTTTGAACACACATATTGATAACACTTTGTACTCTAGGTTAATTTTTTTAAACATTTTAGTTAAAATAAAAAATTAAAATGTTTATCATTTCTGAGGGAAAAACTTTGCTTTGATGATTCAATTTTTTCGAAAAGCGATAAATACATCATCTATAAAAGGTTTGTTTTTCTTTTATTGTAAATATTTGTTTTCATTATAAATATTTTTTTTACTCTGTATACATTTCTGTATGTATAAGTTTTTTAAATTTTAAAAACAAATATCAGATAAAAAAAATCTTATTCTAAAACTTTAATTCTAATATATTTTTAGATTGGATAAATACTACTATTATTATGATTATTATTGTTATTATTATTATTGCTATTATTATTATTATTATTGTTATTATATATATATATATATATATATATATATATATATATATATATATATATATATATATATATATATATATATATATATATATATATATATATATATATATATATATTATATATATATATATATATATATATATATATATATATATATATATATATATATATATATATATATATATATATATATATATATATATATATATATATATATATATATATAAAACAGGCCTCGGCGGTAACAAATGAGCACGAGAGCTGAGAAAAGCTCTCCTAAAACGAATTTGGGGAGCTGTGCGAGTTGCTCCTCATTTAAATTAGCACTCTTTTGTAATTTTAATTTTTTTTTGCAACAATGATGCCTTTTAAAAAGTATTTGCAGTATATTATTTAATTTTTTTTTTTTTTAATGACATTTTGGTTTTTATTTTAGTTACATCAATAATTATACCTTCATCAGAAAAATTATACTTTTGCGAGAGCCGTAAATTGCTACTGTAAACTGTTTTAGGGGAGTGTGGGCGAGAGCGAGAGCTAAAGCTCTCGTTTCCTGCCGAGGCCTGATATAATATATATATACATATATTATATATATACATATATATATATATATATATATACATATATATATATATATATATATATATATATATATATATATATATATATATATATATATATATATATATATATATATATATATATACATATATATATATATATATATATATATATATATATATATATATATATATATATAACCAGTTTATTATTATAAATGCTTGACAGCTTGCATTAAGGCAAATTGTTGAATAGCATAACTTTTTTTTTCATGCACTTTAAAATGGATATAACCATTTTAAAGTTAATTTAATTCTCTATAAATTAATTTACTTATATTAAAATATTTATTTAATTTGAGAAAAAAATGATCTAAATGCAAGATAACAGATTTACGAGTAATATTTTAATATTAAATACTAAAGATAAAACTGTATACCACTTCATTGCTAAACAAATTTGACTACAATGACTTGGCTTTGACCAGTTTGCCTTTCTATGAGGCAAGCTGATCAAAGATTTAGATGCACTTGTTTATATATCATTAAAAGGCTTGCCAAGTTAGACATAAAAAGTAATTTTCAATACATATTAATTTGGGCTAAAAATTACTTGTTTTGAAAATTATTCTTGTTACACCCTTAGGTTTGTTCTATATAATAAAATAACACTGGGTTTATGAAACTATTTTTTAGAGTCTCTTAGGATGTCAATCTGGTACTCAAAAGCAAAATTTTGTAAAAATTTCAAAATTAGTAATTACATTTTATAAAAATGTCCAAATAACCTTTTAAAAAATGTTAAAAAAAGATAAAGTTTAAAATAATTTGTTTTATAAAAAATGATTACTATTTTTAATATTTTCATAAAATTTCGCTTTTTTTTAATAATTGGTGGACATACTTTTTTGAAATTTTTAAAGATAATTTTAGGGACCCATTAAATATTTAAAGATGGAATATTTAATGGGTCCCTAATTGGTTAAATATTCATTGGTTAAATAATCAGTGGAGACTAAATATAGTGTTCCTTTATTATATAGAACAAACCTAAGGCAGTAACAGGAGTAACTTATCTTAGTATTGTCACAAGTTGTCTTAGAGTTAGCACAACTCGTTTTATCGTTGGAATAACTTCTCTTAGTATTGTCACAACTTGTCTTAGAGTTGGCCAAATCTATAGAAACTGGCTGGTTTTGAAGACAAATTAGTATAAACCAAGAAGTAAAACTCTATTTGATAATATTTTTGTTTATTCTAGCTAAAAACTAAAAGAGTAATTGTCAGTCAGTGTCGTGTCAGCCTGGATTTTTAGTAACTACCTGTTGTTATAAATGTTAAAAAATAAAATTTCACTAAATCATACCTCTTGTTTAATAAAATACCTGTTAGTTAAATTGTTTATACTTTTATTAGATCCAAGAAGTTGTCTCATCAAAGATGAATACAGGAAAAAAAGATTAAAAGAGAATCTTCTTACACAGATTAGAAAGGTTAAACTTATGGTTAACTGATAAAGTGTCATTTTGAGTTTTTAAATATAAGAATCTATAAATGAAATATAAAAGAACTAAAGAAGTTTATAAGATTTAGTTTTGTATAATTTTGTATAATTTTGTATAATTTTGTAATAAATTTATTAATTTAATGTTTAAATTAAGAAAACTTGAGATTAGTGATAAAATAATTTTTATTTATTTATAATATAATATAAACATGCTAACAATGGTTTAATTTTCAAAATAATAATTAGCTTTTATTTTGATTTTTTTAGAAGAATTTTAGAAAAAAAATTATCTTTTTTTTTTCTTCTTTACTATAGCTTCAAAAATCTCATGTTGGAAATGAAAATATTGTTGATAGGTTAGTTCAATTACATTTTTGGAAGTTTTATTTAGAAATATTTAAGATATAAAAATAGAAGATCGTTACTTAAACTTTTATTTGAATGTTTATTTTCAACGAAAATTTTTTGAGTTTTTATTTCAATTTGGCTAAAACTAGGTGACTTTTATTTGAACTAAAATTATTTGACTAACTTTCAACTAAATTTATTTCAACTAAATTTAAAGTTCAACTAAATTTATTTTAACTAAATTTAAAGTTCAACTAAAATTATTCAACTAGTTTTTTAATCTAACTAATAATATATTATGTCTTTTATGTAGTAATTAATTACAAAAACATTAAATGATGAAAAAGTTTTAGTCAGCTAGTTTTAATTCAATTAAAACTAACATTAACTCTCATCCCTAATAAACATTTTATTAACATGAGGAGGGTAATTTTATAATTTTTTAAAGTCATTCTTAAGACTAATTTCTTAATTAAGTAAAAAACAATAAAAAATACTTAAGGGAGGATGGGTAGGAGTGAGCGAAGGATAGGAATGAATCGTTGATCCTATTGCTAAAACAGGAAATAAAAAAGATTCAAAATTTTCACCAAGTAGTTACATACATATTGTTGTTAACACAATCTAATTTTTTTACCGCTTCTTGGTGCGGGTGTCTGTGTTAACATTGTAGGAAAATTTGTAGGAATATACTATAATGTAATAGTTATGCCACAATACAGCAATCATACAATAATGTAATAGTTGTACTACCATACAATATTTAATCAGCAATCACAACAGAGTATAAATTGTAAAATGCAACAAAAAAATGTAAAATAGACATGATAATAGGTAATATTTATCATTTTTTGTAGGAATGATGAAGATGCTGCATCTTTATGCATGGCATTAGAAGCTATTTTTTTGCATGAAATTAATTTAAATCACAAGGTTAGCAAATTTTTTATTTTTAAATATTAATTACTTATAGCTTAAGTTTATTTAAAAAATTACAGCAGTTTAAATAATGGTTGTAAAATAAATAGTTTCAAAAAGTTAATGACCCATAAAATCTGTAATAATGATATTGATGCTTTCACTTTTTTGTTCAGAGATAAAATGAGAAAAGTAAAATAAGAAAAGTAAAATAAGAAAAGTAAAATAAGAAAAGTAAATTTGTAATTTTCCAAACAAATTTGAAAACTCAAATATTGTTGAAAAACTTAATAATTGTTTTGTTTTATAAAATGACAGGTTTGTTTCACCCTCATTCTGTCAATAAAAAATCAATAAAAAAACAAAGTTTTAAATTATTTTTAAATGTTGTACTGTTAAGCATAATTGGTTACATAGGTTAACACGATGTTTTGACTTTTCAACTGAAAGGAAGATTAAGGCAAAATAATTTTTTTTTTTTAATATAAGTTACAAAAACAGAACTTGTTTAATTTTAAAAATTAATTAAATTAAAAATAAATAAAAAATGATATCAGCATTTTATTTTACAAATATATGCTGCAAAACTAGATTTAAATATCAATTTTATTTTGTCTGTTTCTAGAAGATTGTGAAAAAATATCCTACAGCTGAGGTCATTTACAAATAGTTTTAAAAAGATTTAAGTAAATACCTTATGTAAATGTACCTAATGTTAATTATAATAAAATTATATATATATATATATATATATATATATATATATATATATATATATATATATATATATATATATATATATATATATATACATATATATCTTATACTGCTGAGTTAAGTGAGCATGATGATGTCATACTCACCTAATGTCAAATAGCCTGCTGCCTGGGGCTTCAGTACATACATCGACTGACAAATAGCCTGACTCGCAGTGGAGTGCTGCTACATCGACTGAGGGTTTGGTATGGGTCAGCAACATTTTCATTCATTATTCTTCGTTTTCCCTCATTGTTTTCTAAAAATGCTCACTTAATTTAGGCTAGCAAAAAAAGTGAGTATTTGCGCATATAAATATGCTATAGTATATATATATATATATGTATACATATATATATATATATATATATATATATATATATATATATATATATATATATATATATATATATATATATATATACATATATATATATATATATATATATATATATATATATATATATATATATATATATATATATATATATATATATATATATATATATATACATATATATATATATATATATATATATATATATATATATATATATATATATACTTATGACTTAAAAACTGCCCACCAGTCTTAGTGTCTTAGGTCGGCATTAATTTGCCGACCTCAGAATTTTAAAAATTAGTTTTATTTGTTACTTCAAATAAATTAAAAATGACAAAATAAACAATTTATTTAAATTCTGAATAAAATTATTTAAATAAAAATTGTAATTATTTTATATAGTTGTTCAAACATTTTAATGAAATCTTGAATAAAATACTTCACAAAAAAAAGTAAATTGAAGAAAAAAAAAAAGGGAAAAAATTAGGTATTTTTTAAATTCCTAATACAATTAATTAAAACTAGCAAAAGGCAACCCGTAATACGGGTTTTGGTCGGTCTGTTACATAATTAATTTATAGTAGCTGTTTTCCACAATTTAATCTTGCAAAACCTTAACTAATACCCTTTTAGAAAATTGCCTTCAGCTTGAAAAAATTAATCCATCTGTAAAATTAACATAAAAATTATGAGGAGGTAAAATAATTTACCAACTACTACTTAACATTATTAAGTAATTTACAAGTGGCACAGGCCATAACAGTGTAAGGCAGAACCATTTTCATCGACCTTCCTAAGTTTAACACAATACGTTTTTAGTTACTGACGCAAAATAATAACACTTGGTTATACTTTAAATTGACGAAAGTGTCAACTAAATCCTTAAAATAATTTTTATAACACGAACCATTAAGATTAAAATGAAGTTAACTTATATTATACAGGAGTTATCAATTTTTTGTTATCCCCTTGATTAATTGTTCTTTAGAAAAGAAAATTGTTAACTTAAAAATGTTAAATGCACACGTTTAAATAAATTAATAAAAAATAACAAAGTTTATTATACTACGCAACTGAGTACAAATACCTTTCAAACAAAAAAAAATTTAATTTACGATCAAACATAGGTATAACAAATTTTTTAATACATTAATGCATCATAGAACAAACTAAAATAAAAATTATAAGAGATAAGTAGACATAAAAGTTTGTAAACCAAGCTGACCCGACCCGGGTCTTGTTAAGTCTGTTCAACACAGACCATTTGTATATTATTTATTTGGCCTCTTTATTTCATTAAATTTTTAGTAAACGGTAATTTGCCACCATTTACTAAAAATTCCTTTTGTAACTCGAAATTTAATTTTTCTAAATATTTTGGCTCTAATAAAGAGGTTCCTTCCCTCTTTTTGCTTTAATGGTGGCCTGGTGAATAAAATAAAATATTAAAATGTAAAACAATGATCTACTTATATAAAAATGTTTTCTTTCTTTCCTCAAAAGTGTTGCAAATACAGACTAAGCTAACTAATTAGTTAAACACATAAATAAAACTTAAGTAACTCGATATTAATGCGCAAAACTACAATATTCTCCATATTTTTAAAGGTTTTTAGTTACGACCGCCCATTCAACCCATACGACCCCCCAATCAATTCTCTCTCTACAATTCTCAATACTAATTCTTATTTAAGTCTCATCTAAGAGAGAGAGGAAGTGTTTTAAAAACACCATGTTAGAAAAAGTAAAAAAGTCATGCAATAAATAACAGTAACTGGTTTTATTATGCTACCAATAAACAAAATTATTTTTACCTTAACTAAAAGTTAATTTCCAGCATTTCTTAATTAATTTCCAGCTTCTCTTTAACTGTTGACAAATGATTAATATTGTAAATTTCACATCATATTAAATTTACAAAATTAAAACCATGTTTCAACAGTAAGCAAAATAATCAAGTGATGACAAAAACAACTAAAAAAAAAATGAACAATTATATTAAGATTACAAAAGTAAAAAAAAAAAAAAAAAAATCATTTAAAACTGAAATTTTTATTATTTGTTACTATAAATAGTAAAGTTCATACTTTGCTTTATTTTAAAGTGTCTAATGTAAAGTCAAATAATAGACATTAACAGCGCTTGACACTGAATTCTGCCAAGTAAGTTTTTGGTTCATCAAGCAAAATTTCTTATATTTCAACGACAATTAATTTTATCATGTCTAGATCTATTTCTTTCATATGACAACAATTTCATGTCACCTATAACCATTTACACTAATAACTTCTTCGAGCCTAATATTATAAATCTGTTATCATTAAATATATATTACCAGTTTTTATGCTACTGTTACAACTGAATAAATGAACGTTTTATATTTTTACTACTGAAAAATATAAAACAAAATTTATTTACATTATTTTAATTTAGCAAAGAATTTAGAACACAGTGCAAAGTTATTTGCATTGTGTTCTAAATTCTTTGCTAAATTAAGAAAGCCTTCAGACACAATCTTAATGCACAAAAATAATAAATGCAGAATCTTGTATAAAAAATGAAGCAATGTCAGTCTAAAGTAATATATATGTATGTATATATATTCAAATTTTTTCTATTCTTAATTTTTTCTTTGAGATAATATTCATATAGATTCAGAGAAATATAAAATATTCCGATATATAGGCACATTTAAGTATATAAACTTACCTGTCAAAAATTACAGTCAGTTTTTCATGTTAAATACATAAAATATATATCTAATATAAAATTAAACAAAAAATTAAACTTACTCAAATCAGTAACAGTTCGACTGTCTAAATATTTTTATTATTAACCCTTCTATTTAAAAAATAAAAACAAATGATTTGAAGTAACTAAAAAGCACTTTAGCTCTTTCCAATTGCACTAAAAAATAAAATAAATCTTGCTTGCTAAGTTGCCTAATTCTTAAGAATCTGATAACAAATAAGTAAAAAACCAAGAACAAACAAACATTTATTAACTAAAACTACTCTATTTAAATAAATTAAAGTATACAGAGAACAACATTGATACTCCTTGAAAGCTGAAAAACTTTTTATCTCAAATTTGCTTGTAGACCTTGCTTATGAAACCACTTGAATAAGAAAAGCATCAAAAAAGCCTAGAAGCTGGTATATGCTACATTGAATTTTAAATGTTGATTGGTGTAGATATTTTTAAAAAAATTCAAAATGATTTGTTCTTCTATAGCAAATAAATACACCATAAATCTGAAGTTAAAAATGTAATGAATAAGTAAATACAAAGAAAAACATCATATGTGAATTAAAAATCAATGTACCTGATAGAGATAAGCTGCGGTGATACCTGAGTAGTATCACCACATACACGTATTTATCAAAAAAATTTTAACTTTGATCATAATATAAATGCAAACATATATGCAAACTTTTAACAACTATAAAAGAACATTTATTAGCATCAATTATTTTTAATGTAACAAAGAATGCAGACTACAATGCACGACATTGTTAATAAAAATGAAGTTATGTCAGTCAGTATATATTTATCTAAAGTAGTGAAAAAGAATAAACCATTTAAAAACAAAATTAAAAATTTCTAATGAATATATATTTAGATACCTTAAAATGAAGCATAACACAACACTCTTTTGACAAATTCCAGAGCAAATTTTTTAAATTTTTCTATTCCTTATTATTTTATTCCTTATATAGATAAAATACATATTAAATGCCACATTCAACTAATGTAATTAATACCTTTATTAGATCTCTTTTGATTAACTAAAGAATTTAAATTTTAAATAAACTCTAACTAAATTTTAACAAACAAACAACCAAAATAAATCTTCATATTAATAGTACGTTATTAAGTTGATTAATAGATCAAACAATTTAATCTACTCTAATAA